ATCACACGATACCCGAGCACTATGCTCCAACAAGATTCATGGACCTTTTCGTTCGCACGTTCAGAACTCACTTTTCCTGGGACCTAGGGATTCCTCTCGTCCTACCAGAGATTCTAAGAAATATTGGTTTCGTCAATGTCCACTGCCGAACTCACAAAATGCCCATCGGGCCATGGGCCAAAAGCAGGCATCAGCGAGAAATCGGCCTCTTCTTGAGTAAGGACGTCTTGTGGCAGCTCGTTCGCGCCGTCCTCGTGAAATGGCCGCAGATGGGCCTCACCCAGCAGGAGGCCGCCGCCATGGAACAGGAAATCCGGAAGGCGTTCCACGACACCAGAATACATGCGTATCTGCCGTGGATCTCCGTCTGGGCCCAAAAGCCTTCCGCTTGAAACGAGACCTCCGCTTCCTTTCCTCCGCCTCCTGTGGTACCCTAACCGGCAGGATATGATCTACCGATTGCCGACCAGAACTTGCTGGGCCGTTCGCCAATGGTTTCAATATGTTCCAGAAGGTCCAATTAATTGTCAGTCCGAGGGCCAAGAAGTGTTCCTTTTTGGCTGCGCTTTAGACTCATGCAAGAGTCTCCGCCAGACTTGTGACGTTGGCTACGTCGGCCGCTCCAGTCGTGGGTCGCGTCGCCTAGGAAGCAGACAGGTACAATACACGGTTGACAGCATGCGTGCCAGGGAGTAACAATTTGGCTTGATCGCGGTGCGAAGACTCGAAAGCATGACCGCCTGGGCACCGATGATACAGTCAGCGACCTCCGACAAGAAAGCTCTCCATCACAATACACCCCTCGTGCGATGTGATGGCCTAAGGGTACAGAAAATGCGACATCAATTTAGCAGCTAAACATGTTATGGCTTTCTCCCATACGTAACGTACACGTCGAAGTAGCCATGCCTCCTTACATCACGCCATTCTGCACTCGCCCTCGCGCTGAAGTCCCATACCTCCTCCTTTCTCCACCCCATAAACCGGGTGAAGAGGGCCAAAGTCATCGACTCAAGACCAACACTGAAGTTGGCTTCGGTCCAGAGGCCCAGGGTTTTATGCCTGACATCCCGCGGCCATTGATTTATTGGCCATTTGAACGGTATTCGCACAATGTCAATGAAGCCTGCATTGGCCATCATTTCCGCTGCGCGGCCACACGTGTCGAGGAGGAAACCCGATCTTCTACCAGCCTCCATCATGAGGTCATTCCATCTCCCCAGATCGCATTCGGGTGGAATCGTCCCGTCATCGCATCTCATGGGAAAGTCAATATCCTGGATCTCGAGCCACCCCCCCGGGTTGAGGTTACTGCAAGACAATATTAGCGAAGGACAGGATGATGAGTGGGGATCCGTGGTTGGAGAAGCGACAGACTCAAATGCTTGTCGGTGAAAGTTGGGCCAGTCTCTAAAGGCACCTGTCATCATCATGCTGTGGATGTAGTCAAACTTTCTCGAAAAGCTCCATTCTTCCTCGAGGTCGTCTATTTCATAGTGGACGTTGGGTGGTGTACTGTAAATGTTAGTGAAATCGCAGTAGAGCAGGACAAGCGATTCTTACAAGCCTGGCTGAACGGGCGAGAGGTCAACGCCAATCACCTCGGATTCGGGATGCTCTTCGCCTGGTTCCGGAATAAACAAGCCTCCATGTGCTAAAGGGACTCGAATAGTATCTTACCAAAGTCTATTGCCCACATGCCTATGGGTTGTCAATATGCAGGCTACAAAGACGTCCGCGCGGAGGCCTAAGGATCGGGGCAGAGACGGAAAGGAAGAGAGCGACACACACCTATACCACATCCAACATCTAGAACCCTATGTGGGTGGTAGATCGGCGCGAAGTTGAGCCTGTTCTCGAACGTCAACTGGCATAGCTGGTACTGAAATGCTATTGCGACATTTAGAAAGCAAGTACACCGCCTGAGTTGGTCTGCTAGCAGATGAACTCACCTTGGCGGTCGAGCTCCTCCTGCAGACAAAATTGCGTTAGTCTAGACGGCATCGTGTCGGCAGTCGTATTACGCTCGGAGATACTCATACTTGATCAGTTGGCAAGACATATTTGCCATCTTTGTACCCATGATAGATGCGGCCGTTCTCCTCCATGGCCCGGACTATGCTCGACCGTAATGAGGCGGTTGACGAAGGCCATGCTTCGGACTGTGATGCGTAAGCTCGCTAATCTACGATTCCATCAATGCTGAGAAACTTGCTTCGCCCAATGCCGAGTCGACATCGCTCCCCAAATTGCTCTGCATATCGGCATCGGAAACTTCCTGTAAGGCGTGGTAAGTAAGGAACATATGAGAGATCAGGATCCCGAAGGTGATGAGCCTCCACTTCGACGCTGACCTCGTCAGGTTCCAGGTCCAGATTGGCTCCCAGTGGGAGCACAGTGTCGACATTATGCGTCGCTTCCAGGACCGGGTCCTCCATCGTCATCGCCTTGTCTCGTCGAAGCTCCTTCGAAGTCCCTGGCAGTGGTGCAGCATTAACTCGAGCCTGCTCCGACAATTCCGACAACAATACGGTGGCGAGACAGTTCAAGGCTCTATTCGCTCTTTCTTCTTTATCTACTTTTGCTTCAAAAGAAACCCCGAAAGCGGCTCGATACAATATTTGAAAGGTGCTGGCTGCATCTCCCCTCTCTGTCACTGAGGTTGGAGACGGAAGGTCACGTCTGTGGTAATAACATGAGGGGAACGGCTCGGCTGCGGTGCTCCTGGAGAGGGAAACACGAACAAGTGGCTTCCTTGTCAGGCCGAATTTCCGGTTCCGTGTCACTCAAAGCTGTGTATCTTTCTATCTTCACTTTGGGCTAACCACCCTCCCCTCAACACAGGGTAGGGACTCCGTGCCTTATTTCTATCAGCGCAAAAAGCTCGGGACGATGGCGTCAGCCGCCTTCTGGTATAACCACCACAAATAATGCTGTACAGAAGTTAGTCATGGATGTAAGAACGGTAGCTATGGAATTGCTCGACTGGGTTTGCACCGGGTCGGTCGAAGCATACGCACAGTTGAGGTATCAATATCGTACTGGGGAGGAGGGTTACACAAGCCACGTGCATTCGTCCAGTCATAACTTGACAGCTATTACCTGCGCCTATGGCCAGGGGGTAGGTTGGCGTCTTCCGAGCTGTCAACTGCTGATGATGTGCACGAACCATGATCGTGGCCTGCAGAGAGGGGTAAGGATCCCGATGGCGAGGGTTCAGGTTGTGTTTTGAGAGCCGACAGTCGTAGCATACATCACGGCCGTTCCGCTGACAGTCGGTTTCCTGCATACAATCATGCAGGCAGTCGGGGAGAAGACAAATACGGTGGGTAGCATGCTGCTGCTGTGGCCCACCAACGTCTTGCTATCATGACCATGCCGCGAGAAAACAGGAATAGTGGGTGTGGTAGCCGGCGAGAAAACAAGTCCGTCTATCCGTTTCCTGGGAATCCTGCATAGTCCGAGGCGATTCTTGTATTTCGAGCACCCGTGCGACAAAACAAGAGTGGCCGCAACCAGTGTAACTGGCTGGGTCCAGCCACCCATTTTAGTCCAACGTCAGGTTCGAAAGATCCTGTGACCCGTTCCATGAAATATCCTCGTGAACCGAAGAGTGGCTGGCAATTCATGGCTAATGGTTGATGGTTTATAGCTAATGGCAGTAAAGTTTGGCCACCGCGATCATGCATGTTACACGCAGATACCTTGGGCGGGACGCAGTATTCTCCCAGGCTATAGTGAAAGATGGGCACACAGCCGACGCATGCAGGTATGCCTGGGGAAATTGACTGGCAGGTACAAGTAGTCTTCCGATGGGTCGGTCGGCAAAGGAGGCCAACAAGTCGGACGTCTTGCGTCTGACCGCCGTGTCTGTCACATCTGGCCAGGCTCTCGTTCGATGCCTAGCAGGCTAGAACGGAGGACTGCAGATGACAGCTCATATTTTCCATTGAATGTAAGTGCAGGAGCGTGACCAGAGAGGTAGTCGGGCAGATCACGACTGAAGGAGAAGAGTCTTTGACGGGGTGCTGGGAGAAACCCTCGTCAAGACGGAAATGGCAGCAACGGGAATGGGGTCAAAAGCAAAAGAGTGAGAGGGGAAGCAAAAGAGTCAGAGGGAAGCAAAAGGAGAGAGGAAACAAAACAGATTTGTGCTTGTTTTGATTTTTAGGTTGTTACCGATTTGCCTAAACCTGCCTACCTGATAAATGAAGGTGAATATTTGCGATTCTGCCGCCTTCACAGTATTCTCGGCGGGCATCTGCCCTGGATACCTTAGATATCAAAGAAACCTTACAAAAATGCGGAAGATATTTGAAATGGCCATACCACAAATTGTGACCGTCACTGCAGGGCAAGGTACCATGAGATGTCAACAAAAAAAACCCGGCCAGGCCGGAGGCGGTCGACGACACTCATCCTCCCTCCTCCCTCCACCCGCTCTTGCCCACCTAGGTGTTCGTTGGTAAAGCACCTACCTACCTTACCTCACCTCGTCCAATCTTACCTGCAACTGGTTACTTACACGTTGATTTTCATGCCATCACCGGGCGTCATTGCCGCCTGCCGCACTTTTATGCTCTTGCCCTCTCGGGAAGAAGTCGATGCCATCCAAGCCCCGGCCGCCGTGCTTACCTTACCTTCCGTTACCTACCGGGCTGCCTCGACCTGAGGTACCTTACCTTACCTGATCACCTACCACCCTTCCCCATCTCTCCGAGGGAGCCGAAGTAAAGTAAGCAGGTAGGTATCTACATAACCTAACTCCTGGTTTGTCTAGTCAAAAACTTGCCTCCTCCCTCGACTTCTTCCGGCTGTCAGACTCTCACCCTGCATTCATTCTCACACTCAGTTCGATCCACACCACCTTCAACATTAGAGGAAGGGGGAGAAAGGAAAAGGAAGATAATACCAGGTGGAAGACAAGAACCAGAATCCACTCTTCATCTCACACCACAGCCCCAGACCCTGCCTCACAAAACCGCCTCAGACAACGCGTCATGGCTGCCCTCATCGAGCTTTCGGGCCGCTTCCAGAGCCCGTTTATTCCTCTGCTTGCTGCCATTCTCATATATCTAACGGTGATGAACTACCGCTCATGGAACCGTCTCAGACATGTTCCTGGACCGCCAGCTGCTGCCTTCAGCAAATGGTGGATGCTACGTAACACACTGGGTGGGCAGATGCATCTCGCCCTCAAGCGAGCCTGTGATGACTACGGTGAGTCAACCCTGGAATCTTCCTACGCCCGATCCCCAGCACATTTCCAGTCCTCACCACTCGACCGCTCGCCTCTGCCACAGAGATGGGTTGTGCCGTCCGAGAAGGTCTCAGACACACATGCGGACTCATCCACTGCGTGCTCAAGAGCCGCAGACATTTCCCCCGTCTGGCTTCCACAGGCTGCTGACAGAAACCCTTGCGTCCTAGGCCCGGTCGTCCGCATTGGTCCCAACGACTTGGTAACCAATGACGCGGAATTGCTTCGTCGGATGTGGGCGGTTCGTTCGCCATATCGCAAGGGCGCCTGGTATCAGGCCGTCAGATTCGATCCTACCAGGGACAACATCATCTCCATGAGAAACGATCATGACCACAATGAACTCAGAGCCAAGATGGCCATTGGCGTAAGTTGTGCCATGTTCCTGTCTTTCCCGTTCTTACATTCGATTTCAATCAACGCGCCATCTTCTGACACAAAACCAAACAGTACTCTGGCAAGGAAAATGAGGGTCTGGAGTCCACCGTTGACATTCAAATACAGTCACTCGTCCGGCTCATTGAGGAGAAATATGTGTCCACTGCTGTAAACTTCCGACCTGTGGATTTGTGCAGGAAGATTCAGTACCTCACATTGGATATAATCACATCGCTCGCGTTTGGCTATCACTTCGGGTACCTCGAGCAAGATGCCGACGTTCACCGATACATCCAGATGACCGAGGAGAGCATGCCAGTCATGATGACGCTCACCGTGTTCCCTCAACTGGCAAAACTGCTTCAGTCGCCCCTTTTCCGCCGGGCAATGCCCTCGGAGCATGACCGCGTGGGTTTTGGCCAGTTCATCGCGTGAGTGATTGTGTTGCTCTGTGCCATCTTTGGTGTGAACACAAGACCACTGACTGTTGTTTGCTTCATGCTAGCGTCGCGAAGAGGGTTGTCACAGAAAGGCTTATGTCAGACAAAACGGCGAAACGGCAGGACATGTTAGGGTCCTTCCTTGCACACGGCCTGACCAGAGAGGAGGCTGAGGGTGAGACATTGGTACAGATCATAGCCGGGTCCGACACGACAGCCACCTCAATCCGGACCACAATCCTGTATCTGATGACAGCCCCATCCTGTTATTCCCGGCTTGCCAACGAGATACGGGATGCGTCGCGAAGGGGTATCATATCATCCCCCATTACTAACCGGGAAGCGGGTGACCTTCGCTACTTGCAAGCTGTGATCAAGGAAGGCTTGCGTGTGTTTCCTCCGGTCACCGGCCTCATGTCGGCGACAGTGCCCAAGGGAGGTGATTTCATGCATGGCATGAGTATACCCGAAGGAGCTGATATTGGTTGGACTGCCTTCGGAGTGCTCCGCTCCCAAACGGTATACGGCCCAGACGCCGATGTGTTCCGGCCGGAACGCTGGTTAGAGGCCGAAGATGATCAACTCAAATCCATGACGGCGCAATGGGAACTGGTATTCAAATACGGCAAGTGGCAGTGTCTGGGGAAGACGGTGGCCCTATTGGAGATGAACAAAGTGTTCGTTGAAGTAAGTCTTCCCTGGGCTAGCTAGCATCCTGCGCAAGAGGCATCTTTGGTTGACTAACTTTCACTGCCAGCTCTTGCGGCGATTCGACTTTGCCCTGACAGACCCCACCAAGTCATGGAACTCGTTCTCGGCTGGAATCTTTATCCAGTCTGACCTATGGGTTAGAGTGAGCAGAGTGGAGTAGCCGAGACGAGAGGTAGCCAAGAGGTCGTTGGAAAGATCAGGTGCGGGATGTGGATGGCGAATCCTTTGAGAATAGGTGCGAATGATGCAGCACACACGCATGCGTTGGTAAAATTGTAGATGGAAGCACATACAACCGAAGCAAGTTGGCAAGAGCCAAGCCCCCCCTCCCAACCTTTGGACTACAGGCTACCAAATACGGTTTGAAGGCATCCAACCTGTGTTGAAAGTGAACCATAGAGTGCTTTGCATACCAGTCGACCCTGTGGGCGGATGAGGATAGGTCGGTCGCATGCTTCAGAGATCCGAGACCGAAGTTCGTCTCGGCGAGTCATGGATGTGTGTTTTCTGTGGTGTTCGTGTGGACGGTTCAGAAGGTTGCAAATACTAATTATATAGATTTCTGATGGACGTGGTAAAGGTGAGGGTGCTAATTAGGCGATCCTTTCCTCCTCTCCGCACTCAGCCGGCTTAACCGAGCCCCTAAACCCCACAACTTTGAAGTAAGTTGCCGTCCTTAGCAGAAGCACCTTACTCGGCCTGCTGGGTTTAGACCAAATAGTCCGGTGTCGCCCCGGGCCCCTTGTAAACCTTCCCACTGGGTTCACTTTCGAATGAAATGACAGTCCCCACGCATCGCGGCGACTCCTTTTCCACTTCCATTGCCAGGCAGGCAGAGGCGCCATCCCTGTAAACAAGACGACTTGGGATGAACGTGCAGGGCAGTCCAGAACGATGATGCCGGTAATAAGCTTTGCTGCAAACTATTGTTTTCCTGCACAATACGAGTTGCTTGGGATGTCTCAGCACGAGGATTTTTGTTTGTATTGTACACAACAACTTTCTATATATACATATCAGGCAGCCGTCACCAATCGCGTCGATGTTGCCGAATCCTACCTCCGAAAGCCATCCATAGGATCAAGCACGGATTTCGCCATACGCTGGGCACTTGCTTCTCATTTGTGACGCCATGTCTCTGCGATCTGGGTTGCTCTCCCTATTCGGCCTCGTCGCCAATGTCCTCGCGGCAGATCTCGATGACTTTGTCACTCGTCAAAGGGACATTTCTCTCATAAGCGCCCTGAACAACATCGGACCCCATGGTTCAATGGTTCAAGGGGCTGGTGCCGGCATTGTTGTCGCCAGCCCGTCCAAGTCGGACCCTGATTGTTTGTTACCGACCCCAAACTCCATTGCCTTCGTTCGCTAACCCAATACGCGCCGCAGACTTTTATACCTGGACCCGAGATGCCGCGTTGACCATGAAGATGGTCGTTGACGAATTCATTCTTGGCAACAAGGATCTCCAAGTCTACATCGAGGACTACTACCACTCTCAGGCTATCCTGCAAACCGTCACAAACCCTTCGGGATCTCTGCTGGCCTCTGGCCGCGGCTTAGGCGAGGCCAAGTACTTGGTCGACGGCTCACGCTTCAACGGTGCCTGGGGTCGCCCTCAAAGAGACGGGCCGGCGTTGCGAGCAATCACACTCATTACCTATTCGCATTGGCTTATTCAGAATGGCCAGGAATCCAAGGTCAAAGACGTCATCTGGCCCATTATCGCCAACGATTTGTCCTACGTTGGCCAATACTGGTAAGTCAATCTCCGAAAGACGCATGTCGTGTCGATGGCCTGACAAGGAGCCTAGGAACTCTACTGGATTCGACCTCTGGGAAGAAGTCTCCGGCTCTAGCTTTTTCACCACTCAGAGCCAGTATCGAACCCTCGTGGAAGGCAACGCGCTGGCACAATCTCTTGGCGTCAAGTGCACAGGCTGTGAGTTGGCACCCGACGTCTTGTGTTTCCTGCAAACTTTCTGGAACGGGGAATACTTCACGGCCAACATCAACACCCAAGCACAACGGTCCGGCAAGGATGCCAACGTCATGCTCGGGTCCATCGCCGTGTTTGATATCGCAGCTAGCTGCGACGATCCTTCCATTCAACCCTGCCACAGCAAATCTCTGGCCAACTTCAAGGTCTTGATCGACGCTTTCCGCAACGCCACGCTCTACCCCATCAACGAGGGAATCGCCATGAACAAGGGTGTAGCTCTGGGCCGCTACACCGAGGATGTGTACTTTGACGGCAATCCTTGGTGAGTTAAATCCGAAATTCCACGCCACAAGCATGGAGCTGACCCGAGATCAGGTATCTCATCACCATCGGAGCAGCCGAGTTCCTGTACGACGCAGTGGCTCAATGGAAGTCGCAGGGCCAAATCAAGGTGGACTCGACGTCGCAGCCTTTCTTCGCCGACTTGTACCCCAAAGTCAAGGAGGGCACTTACCAGAAGGCCGCCAACCTATCCAATGACTACAGCAGCATTCTCAGCGCCGTCACCGCCTACGCGGATTCCTTCGTTGCCGTAGCTCAACAGTATATCCCCAAGAACGGCTCAATGTCTGAGCAATTCAACAAAGCCCCGCCAGGCAACCCTATGTCTGCAGCTGACCTCACATGGTCGTACGCGGCCTTCGTCACGATGAGTGAGCGCCGCGCCGGCTTGTACCCGCCTAGCTGGACTGCCTTCACGGAGCTACCGGCTACATGCACCACGTCCTCGACGACCGGCAGTTACGCCCCGGCAATTGCTGCCGGAGCCCCTAACGTGACGGGCTCCTGTTCTGTACCCGTCAGTTTCTTGGTCAATGCGACGACGTACTACGGCGAAAATGTCTACCTTGTTGGCAATGTTGCCGAACTTGGTTCCTGGAACGTTGGAAACGGCCAGCAATTGAGCGCATCAAACTACACCTCTGAACGTCCGCTTTGGACCGTCGACGTAGAACTTCCCGGGGGCCAGAACGTGAGCTATGTCTACGTGAGGAAGCAAAACTGCGACCAAGGCTACATTTACGAGACAACAAACCGTACACTGTCTGTCCCTGCCTGTGGCTCGACGCAAAGCCCGGTGGCAAACGATGCTTGGAAAGGGCCTACGGGATCAAGTGGCACCTGCTAAGCTGGGCACCAAGTGTTGTGCTGATGGGTAATAAAGTACATAATGTGAAGCGAGGACTCTCATTTAATACATAGACTATTGCCCAGGCCTTCGCCTTACCCTCCAAGGAGGGATTGAAAGTTCCTCAACTCCCAAACATATTACCACCATCCGGGTTCCCCATCATCCCCGGGCCGACCATGCCATTACCGCCCAGAGGAAAGCCGCCGAACCCCCCTCCAAATGCCGCATACGTATCCATGTCGTACCCTTGCATCAAGTAGCTCCAATCCATATCCACAACATCACCTTCCGAAGCCGGGGGACCCATTGCCGGGGTCCCCGCAGTCACCGATGGTGGCGTCATAATCATGTTTGTCGGCATTTGCATAGGGCCGACCTGGGACGTAGTATTGTTGACCGGTGCATTTCTGGCGGCCTGTTGTGGGAATCCGGCGCCTCCATCTGGCCCGGGCCGGCCGCCGCGCTGCTTCTTGCCCGCCTTCTCTGCCCGCTGGCGCAACCTCGTGATCCACATGGGCTCCTGCTCAGGTCTTCCGATCTGTTGCTGGCCGGCTTCGTGAGCGTCCCATGCCTTTATAAACAGATTGCCGAAAGCGATGTGCATCGGGCTATGCAGTGTATTCATCAGCCCTCGCCGTTCGTGGTTCTCAGCAATGGCATCCCATGCTCTTTCAACCATCGGCCCGGTCAGCCGTTGCCGTAACTCCGTAACCAGGAACATGTAGGCCGGAAAGGGGAAGTGGAGGTACGTATACCACTTGTATCCCTGCAGGCTTTCCGCAGCCTGAACGATATTATCGTATTCGATCATCTGGATAGCTTCAAGAAAGAGCGTATCGCGCTCATGGTCTTGGAGCGTGGTCGCTTCGCCGTTGCCCATGCGTACAAGGAATGAGATGACCCTCATCTTACAAAGTGATTGCCGCGTCATCGTGAGAGTAAAGAAATGTAAGGGTATTTTGGGGTCACACCATTTGAGGTAGGTGCCCTCGATATGCGCGAAGAAGCCGTCTAGTGTGTAGGTTTGATCCTGCCCAGCCATGCGAACCGTCGGGACCGGTCGCGGTGCAATAGCCGCAGGACCGGATTCTTTCTCTTTGTCCCCATTGCGCTGCCCATCGCGTACAGTATCGCTGCTAATAGCCATGGCCAACTCTGTCCGGATGAGGACGAAGAGCATCTCGGTCGCACCCTGGTGTGGAGTCGGAGCATCTTTACCGTTGATATGTAGGTCAGTATCGTTGATATTGAGAGGCAGCTTGCAGTCACCGGCAGTAGACAAGGCTGTTACGGTTGAGCCCGTCATCTCTCCTATCCGACGATCGTAGCCGACAATAGTCCACCAGAGACGCCGCCTTTGCTCGACCTCATAGGGTGAGAGCCCAAAGGCTGCGGCATCCCGATGCAGACCCATCCGCTGGCCGATCCTTACAGCTATGCCGACCAGGCAAAAGATCTGTCTTGGATCGACGAACATGCGAACGGCGATCTACGCGTGAATTAGCAAGCCTGCCGTGCAGAAACGCGTTTGAAGAAAGCGGTTCGTATCTACCAAGAAGAGCATATAGGCCTGGAGGACCATTGTGTCACTTGTCCGCATAAAGCCAGCATTGACAAGTGCCTGTTGGAGAGCCGTGTGGAACCTAGATAAGACGGAAGGTTTGGGTTCGTTAAACATCTTGGCGACCTCGGTATCCTCAAGTGAGGTGACTGCTAAAAGATAGATTGCAAACATGAGACATTCCACGTTCTTTGAAATCTTCTCTAGGTTAGCACTGGCCTCTATGATGAGACCTTGAACAGTGGGAACGTGTGTTATTTTCAGGAGAGGATTGACGTTGTTAATATAAATTTGCCAGAGTTGGAAGATTTGAATGGGAGATGGATGCAGGTGTGTCACGGAAGCATTTCGGTTGCCGACAATGAATGGGAAGCCATCCTGGTTGTCATACATCTTATCGAAGGCGTGGTGTATCGTGGAACCATCGACCTCATCTTCCGAGGAATCCCTCAACAGTTCCTCGCTGGCTCTGAACTGGGCCATCAGTTAGGACAGAGTGTGGCAAAGGGCAAAAGTGAGGCGCGTAGATAAATGAAGCGGAGTAGGGCAGCAAACCTCTTTGTGAAAGGGAAACCATTTGTTGAAGGGTCTAGTATACCGAGTTAGATATTAGCGCATGTACAAAGGGGGAGTTCTTGCTGTTGCTGTTGTTGTTGTTGTTATTGTTGTTGTTGTTGTAGTAGTAGTAGTAGTAGTAGTAGTAGTAGTAGTAGTAGTAGTAGTAGTAGTAGTAGTAGTAGTATAGGGCCGCTTTACTCACTTGTCGGACTGTGACCTCCTACTGCCGGCGACGGAGGGTGATGTGCTTCCCTCGGGCGACGTCTTGAGACCCTCGAAGTCGTTTTCCAGCTCAGCAACCTCATCGATACTAGGGCCCTCGTCGATGTGGATAGAGTCTCGGTCTGAAGGCTTCAGGTCGGCTGCGATGGGGTCGAACTTGACGCCATTTTCAGCCAAGAGCAGCTCATACTTTTTCAGTCTGTCGACAAGGTCTCTCTCTTGAAGACGCTTCTTTCGTCGCCTCGGTGGTTGTGGGGGAATGACTCGACATTCGACGCGAGCCTTGACACAGTTGGCACATGGCTTGTTCTTGTCGCAACGAACCTTTCGCTGCTGGCAAAGAACACATGATGTGCCCCTGGTAAGCTTCATGGCAGCCATGGGGTCGGGCTCGGGGGGAGGAGGAGCCCTCGGCGGAGGTAGTAGTTGTGCTTCTCCCGACATGGTTTATTATGTGGATACGGGCAACTTCTGGTATGCAGATGGCGAGACGCTGACTGACTGGCTGATTACCGTACAGATCTTGATGTCGGCTGGCTGAATCCCGGTTCGGATCCGAAAGGTGAGGTTGCAGGCGAAACGTCGACGGGTGCGGGACGAGTTTAATGAAGAGACCAATGAACAATCATCAGATGCGCCAAGGGGCAGCTGGCCAGACCCGTCGGTCCGGAGTGTAGTGGAGTGGAGCGGAGCGGCGTCGTATTCTGTCTCGAGGGGCTCTCTGCCGGAGACCACGAGGTTCGGTGAAGATTTGGTTCTGACTACCCGAGACACTGTTGAAATGGACGGTCTGTTGGATTGTTGGAATGGGCAGAAGATGGCTGCGGTAAGCCGAGTAGATGTGTATGTGTGTACGGATAACGAGCAGGCAGCAGGCAGAAGCTCAGCTTAGGTAGGTTTGGTGGAGACAAGCGTGGATATGCGTGCAGAGATGGAGAATTTGGGGGGACGGGCGAAGTAAGGCAGACTGGGGTAAAGGTATGGATACGTAGGTAGGTCCAGTCAGATGCGGATAAGGTACCTAGATAGGTAAAGCGGTTGGGTTCGGTTATGGAACCAGGCGTCGAGGGTAATGGATCCGTAGGCGGTGGGAGTATCAGCATCAGCACCAGCACCAGCACCAGCACAAGCTCTAGTATCCGCAAAGATGGTATGCTAGAGCCAGGCAATGGGCCTATTCGTGGACCAACCCGGTAGAGACAGGACGAACGACAGGGCCGTGGGCGTTTCCAGTCCGGTGGGTGCGGTGCTGTTGAGGCTCTTGCCTAGGTTGTAGGGTAGGTAGGTAGACCGTAGCTTAGGCCCGGCGACGACCACAGGGCGAGACTGGGACCTTGGAACTGGGAACTGGTGGATGGGATGGGATGGAACGTCGCGATGTCTGAGGGGGAAGACCGGCAGGGAGAGAGAGCACCTGAGGAGAATACCTAATTAATTACCCGTCCGGGACCGAACGAGAGGTGACGTCGATCCAAGTTGACAGATTCAGATCAGAGGTCAATGCAACAACAGAGCCCGCCAGCTTCACAAAGAGCCCTGAGCAGTTTTAGGTAAGCAGGGGCATCGGGCAGTAAGGTGCACCTCATGGGTAGTACTACGGATGCCCAGGTACCTTATCTATGCATTACCTACCCGAGCACCCGAGGCCCTGCCGCAAACGGCGCAGTCGAGACCCCGCCGGACACAAGGACGACCTCCGGTGTCCGAGACATGGCCTTCTAAGGTTCTATGGATGCTGAGTATCCTTCGCTTCTCCCTACGAAAATGTCCGAGACTAACGAGCGACGACACTCGCCTGGACATCCCCATCGGCCTCGACTAAGCTCTTCTGGCACCCATCGCATCCCACCGCCATTGCGCCATTGCATCTCAGTCGCGTGAGACACTCGCGGCAGCCACCATACGATGATGGTGTACACAGTATCGCGTCGCGTCCGAGGCACCTTCACTGGTCGCCGACGGCCGCGTTGACACCATGCTAACTAACCAAGTGTCCGTAGCCACCCATATTTATAATTAAAATGGCCTGAGTTGACCGATTCTCACCCGTCTGTGGTTCATGCCTGTGAACTGCCCGAGCGCCAAGCAGCGAGAAGAAAAAGCGGCAGAGGCGAAAGAAAAAGAAAGGGGGGGAAAAAAAAGTCCAGCCGAACTTGTTGTCTGCTCACTCATTATTCTGATCAATTCCTACCACCAAAGCCAAGGCATCTTTTTTCTCCCACCGTCTTGTGCGGCGCCTCCTTCTCTACCTCCTCGAGGGCATCATCGTCGCGAGTGGGCCTAATTAGAGAGCATCCCGAATCATCATGGTCGACACTACCCCAACGACCAAGTCTGCCGAGGGCGACGGCGCTTCTTTCAACGGCGAAGCTTTCCGAGGAACAAATACCTCAACGCCCACCTTGGCCCCGAGGGAAAGCGATGATCACGTGGAGAAGAAATCGGAGGACAGGCCATCAACGTTACAGGAGAAGGTCACGGTTCACACGCCGATAATATCAGCCAGCCCGTCAGCCAATGCCAGCCAGCTCGACGTCTCGAAAGAGCCCAATTTGGACGAGAAGCGAGATGCAGAGAACCGAGCTCCGGAGGGGCTACCGGTTGAGATTGACGAGGCAGAAGAGAATTTCAAGCCAAAGAGCATCAAGTTTTGGCTCACCATCTTTTCCAACTTCATCGCCTTATTCCTAGTGGCACTCGATCGAACCATCATAGCCACCGCAATCCCACGCATCACTGACGAGTTTGGGAGCTTGGGGGATATCGGCTGGTATGGGTCGGCTTACATGCTCACCACTGCCGCTTCCCAACTGGTGTTTGGCCGAGTTTATAAGTTCTACAATCTTCGATGGTACGTAGTGCTACGACCAGGGGCTATAGAAGCGTTCGTGGCTGATCTTTTGGGCGTACAGGGTTTTCCTCAGCAGTATATTTGTTTTTGAGATTGGCTCACTGCTTTGCGGCGTCGCTCCCAACTCGGCCACTTTGATTGCAGGAAGAGCCATTGCAGGTGTCGGCTCCGCTGGTATCTTCACTGGAGCCATGATGGTCATGATTCCAATGGTGCCGCTACACAAAAGGCCAATGTTTCAAGGTAACCAAAAATCACTGTCTTGAGCAGACGTGTCCAAGTTTTAACACCAACCGTAGGAATCTTTGGTATGGTCTTTGGCCTTGCTTCCGTGATCGGGCCACTAATCGGCGGTGGCTTCACGGGCACAGTCACTTGGAGGTATGTTGCACTCAACATGTCTCTAGCTAGAATGGCTTGGACTAACGCGGGAATCCGGAAAACAGATGGTGCTTCTACATGAATCTTCCTATTGGAGGTGCGGCTTTGGTATACCTGTTCTTCATGCTCAAGGCTCCCAAGCAGCAACCACGAGAACCTGCAACACTCACCCAGCATATCTTGCGCCTTGATCCCTTGGGGACGTTCTTCTTCCTACCCTCCATCGTGGCCCTTCTCCTTGCCCTGGAGTGGGGTGGGGCGACGTATGCATGGAGCGATGGCCGCATCATTGCTCTTTTTATTGTCTTTGGGGTTGCCTTCAGCGCTTTCGCCGCCGTCCAGGTATTCATGCCCAAGACGGCAACGGTTCCAGTCAGGATCATCACCCAGAGGACCATGCTAGCCGGCGCATTCTTCATGTTTTTCTTGGCTGGGTCGATGATGTTGGCGGTTTACTATCTTCCTCTGTGGTGTAAGTTCTGCTTTCCCCCCCTCTTCCAAAAAAAGGAGAAAAAAAGGGCCGGTGTTTTGCTGCGAAGAGAAGACGTGTTAATAAATATTCCAGTTCAAGCTGTACAGGGTGCGGATCCCGTGGACTCTGGTATTTATACACTACCGCTGGTGCTCAGCATCGTGGCGTCATCCATCATCTCAGGGGGGGCGACGCAAAAGATTGGCTACTACGTGCCATCGATGATCCTCTGTCCATGCATCATGGCAACAGGTCTAGGGTTGATGAGTACCTTTCAGCCGGGAATTAGCTCGGCACACTGGATCGGATACCAGTTTCTCACAGGTTTCGGCCTGGGGTTTGGCATGCAAACCGTTGGTCTTGCTGTGCAGGCGGTGTTCCCCAAAGAAGATGTGTCAACAGGTGTTTCCATCAGCTTCTTTGCGCAGCAATTGGGAGCAGCCATATTCGTCTCGGTAGGACAGTCGATTCTCAGCAACATGCTTGTGTCGCAGCTTTCTGGCATTCCTGGACTACCTGCACAAGTCATTGTCAAGATTGGGGCAACCGATTTACACAATGTCGTTCCGTCCCAGTTCTTGGATGTGGTCGTCAAGGCATACAACTACGCATGCACTAGGATCTTCTTGGCAGGCATGGGACTGTCATTGGCAACCCTTGTCTGCGCTCTATGCATGGAATGGAGAAATATCAAGAAGGGGAGGAACCGTGCCAGTAGAATCGAGCCGGAAACTGAGGCGTAGTGCTGGATCATCAGGCGAGGGGACGCGGCAAGGACGACTAAGTGACATACAAGCACATACATACCATATACGGTACCTTAGTTCACCTACCTTGACATACTTACCTTAATGATGATTGCACTCGTTGGCCTCAGGCGGTCAGGGCCATCTCCAGTGCAATCCTGGAAGGGGTGTAGCGCCAACACACGATGTTGGGCCCCGAACGGGCTGACGTTTCGGGGCTCACTGACGGAGGCCACCCACAGCCACAATGCACGTCACGCCTCTCAAACCACCATACTTTTTTTTTAAGAAAAAAAAAAAAAGAAGAAGAAGAAGAAGCCTTCGAAACCGGCCCATTCCCGTCCGATCACCTTTTCTCAGGTTCATGATCCTGCCTGAGTCAGGTTCGTTGAGTAAGGTACGGCTGAAGTAATATAACACTCCGTTTAGGCATCCGTTCCCGTGTTCAAGTTCTTATCAGATCTCGTCGTCCCACATGACGCTGTCAATGTGCATGCATGCGGACGAGGCAACCTGCTCCACGTATTTTCGCGCGCCTGCTCCCCGATCAGTGAACGTCCCATCACTCGAAATCCGCCTTCGTTCAAGCCAATGGTTCCCATCTCGAGGATCAGTGGAAGCACCGCGAGTATGCCAAAGCAGACTGCTGTCCCTGTGAAATGCAAGAGGGCAAGCAAACCCAAAGTTCGAACAGGGTGCTTAACATGGTGAGCCCCTATTCATTACTATTGCCCCTGTTCCCGCGGCTGTAAAGATTAACTGACCGCAGCAAGTACGGCACTCTTACCAACGAGAATGGTGCCTGAGCTGCGATCCGCTAACACATGGCTACAATTTGTTATAGAACAAGACGCATCAAATGCGGAGGAGAGAGACCTGCCTGCATACTTTGCACATCGACCGGAAGGAAATGCGATGGTTACGACCAAGTTATGCCGTCTCGACCGGCAGAGGCGGACGACGATACGCGTGGTCCCGCACTAGTTGCCCAGGCATCTTGTATGCAGCCATGCTCTGAAATCAAGGCTCTGCGCATATTACGGCCCTTAGTCGCCGACATAGACGGCACTCACACGGAGCGTCTCTATTTCCACCGCTTTCGCCGCGTTGCCGAGACCGGTCTCTGTGACCATGTCACCAACCTCACCAGTTTTTGGAGCCGATTAGCCACTCGGTTGAGCCATGCTGACGAGGCTGTAAAGTGGGAAACTCCAAGAGCTACGGATCAAAGTTGAAGAAGACTAAATACGTGCTTAGGCAAACCCGGTATCGACACAATAATTTACTCGTGTGTCCCTAATTGTTGTTGTTGCTGTCCTCTCTATTCTACGGATGTGCTGGCCCTCATTTGTGTATAGAGAAGAATATGAGAGGAAAGAAAGTAAAAAAAAATCTATAACCTAAAGCCTCAGACGTTTCCCGTTCATTAGCAACTCCATTGTTAAGTGAGTACCTACTTACTTCCATATGAGTGAGTAGGTTAGGTAGCTGCGCAAGACCGCCTTACAATACCTACCTGAGGTAGGTACCTAAGGTGCACTGGTGGTCAATGGCCCGATGGTACGTGCCCTTCCGCACGGCGTCCTTCGTGGGGCTTTTGCTGAACCATATCATCGAAGCTTCAATCACCACGCACTCGTCGCGCCTGGTTTGCAACGTCGATACTCGAGAAGCGCTGAAAACGCGCCATTTGACGCCAAAAGTCGCACACGATGGCGTCATTTCCTCACGAAGTCCCCACAATCACCGAAGAGAGGACCGGTTTCGACTTGAATCTCCAGCATGGCCACCAGGATCTGGTTCAAGCTGTAGCCTTCAATGCCTATGGCGATCGCTGTGCAACCGGCTCCGTCGACGGGAAGATCAAAGTTTTCAACCGCCACAAGGATGGTGTCTGGCATCATTGCGATACTTGGGGGGCGCATGGCAGCGAGATTCTTGAGGTAGGCGACTCTGGTGCTGCGCACAATCACTGCCCATTCAAGACTGACACACCCTCCATCCAGCTCCAATGGCTTCCCCCAACCGTATATCCGAATCTCATCGCATCTCTCGGGATAGAAGGCCGCTTCAAGTTATGGGCCGAAGATCCATCTGCTGCTCCAGGCCGTCGCTTCAGCGCCAGCAACCGTGCGACGACAAGCAAAGCCGCATACGAAATGCGCTCCTCGAAATACCCCTACCGCTCGTTTTCCATGAAGCACAACGAGGAGACGAGGCACACTTACCTTGCCCTTCTCGCCTCCGACGGTCGCCTGATTGTGTACGAGAATGAGCAACCTGAAAACATGTCCGAATACACCTCGATAGACGAGTTTAGCGTATGTCCCAAGCCGAATCGCGGAGAAGAGGTTAGCTTCAAGGTTCGGTTCGATTCGAATCCAGACCCGTGTTACAGTGCATTGCGGGCAGGGGTCGCAAACGACTCTTTGGGCCTCGTTGTGGCGGGTATGTCTTCGGTCAAGGTGTATCGCTCTAGGGACGTGATCACAACCTCGTACGGCGTCGCTCAATCACAACGCGAGTTCTATCTTGCTGTTGACGTTGGTGTCCATAGAGGCCTTGTGCGCGATATAGCATGGGCGCCTGGGAATATCCGAGGATACGACATTATTGCGACGGCTTGTCAAGACGGGTTTGTACGCATATTCCGCATAGACACACCCTACTCGTCAGATGATGGCAAGACATGGTCAACGGCGGAACTCACTAGGCATGAAAATCACCAAGCGCAGGCATTCTCCAACGTAGGCCAGTCTACAGACAACAAGCAACCTCAGTCAGGTCTCAGTGCCAGTCTAGCTAAGTCTGGCTCGCACGTGGAGAGGCACTTCTCGGGCCAGCCAGGACAAGTGAAGCATATTTTCAAAGAAATTGCCAAGCTGGATAGCCATCGTACGCCTGTATGGCGCGTCGGCTTCGACGATGATGGCCAGATCTTGGCCAGCACTGGCGACGACGGAAAGTTGGTGTGCTATCGTCAGACTCCAAACGGCGCCTGGGCAAAAAGTTCTGAGCTGGCTATGGTGAAAACGAGAATGGCCCTGCCTTGAGCCGGCTCCATGGGTTGGTCCAGCTTGCATCGATCGGCCCTCATCGCTCACTCGTGCCATTCTCGTGCCGTGGTAGTGTTTCAACCGACGCCCAGCGGCCAAATTAGCATGACCTCCTCAAAGGCCAGGGGCCAACATCAACATGGCTCTAATGCAAAATCCCGGCTTGCTGCTATCGCAAACCAGTGTCCGACGCAGACGTGGCTGTTGCACTACAGGTAGGCGGTAGAAAGGGCGATCTGAAAGAAGTAGACTACCATGATGGATCGGGCCATCAACTTTGCCATCCGGCTACCACACATCTCGAAATGCGGATTGGCTCGAGTCACAGTCTTGGTTTTCAAGGAGAAGTTAGATACCCCCAATGAATGATTTTGCAACCTAAGCCTGACTGATGCGACTAATTGCCAAGCGCCCTTAATTACACATTCTTCGAAAAGTAGTAGATGACTTTTGACCCGCCCTAGACATTTTCCCTCACTACTTCCTACGCTTCTGACCTCCGCCGCCGGCCCCCTCGTCCGCTGCTTGGCGCTTTCTGCCGTTCTTACGCCAGAACTCCTTGCTCTCCTTCTTCTCCCTCGCCTCCTTCTTTTCCTCAGACTCGGCCACCTTTTTGCGGTACTCGGCACGCTTCTCCTCCTTTTTGGCGGCGCGGCGAGCGACCTTGTCGTTACGGATCGTGGTAAGCTGCTGCAGCAGGTTGCGCGCTGTCTTCTCCTCCTTGTTGAGCACGACAGCCCGCTTCTGCATGTAGGTCTCTTTGTTCTGCTTGCGAGCCTGCACAATCTGTGACTTGAAGGGCAGCTCGGCGGCGAGGGCACGGGGCACGCGCAGAGCGTTGAAGTGGCGAGTCTCGCGCTCAATCTTGCGATACTGGCTGTTCTTTTGCGAAGGTGTCTCGATGCCCTCAGCGCGGCGCACCTCACCCGTAAGCCGCATCGCCTGCCAGCCGATGAGGTTTGTTACGGGGCTGTAAAAGCGATGAGGCTTGATGGGATACCATGCTCGCAGGAAGACGATATCGCTGTACAGAATCTTGTCTTCGAAGGTGGCACGGAAATGGCCCTCCGGCTTGGACAGTGCACGTTTGATCTGACCACGAACGCCGGAAACTGTCTTGATGGACGCGCCTTCGAATTTCGCGATCTCGAGCGACGAGTTGAACATGCCCTTGATGAAGGCCGTGTTCTTGTGGATCTTGTCGGCAGTACCCGTGAGCTTGAGCTTCTTGACAATTTCGGTTGATTCGTCGACGCTGAGGACTGTCCCTGTTGCTGCTATCCGGAAGCCAGGATTAGATGACGAGAAGGAATTGAAACAAACAAAGCCGGAGTTAGGCGCGATGAGTGGACCGTAAATGGTTGCGAAACAATGCATATGCTCTGGTGTGTATTTCAGCATGCGATTTCTCGTTCTCGAGTCTGAGATGCTGTAAATAGGCATGGTCTGGAATCGCCTCCATCCGAGGGAGAAGATCAATGGATCGTTCGTCTTGAGAATCTTTTTGTGCCACCTATGCTTTTTGATTCGGACCTGCACATATCCAAAGCGATCCTCGGTAGGGCTCAGACCACCAAGAATTAGAGGCATCCTCGCATTGAACATCTGGACGAACTCGGCTGGAATACCGTCCAGGACAATCTTGGCATACTTGCCGGCCTTGAAGCCCTCGACAACAGTTCTCTGCCTCTCGTCAAGGTTTTCGAACTCTGCCTTGTTGATATCCAGCTGCTTCTGGATAAGGGCCTTTTGCGATTCGTACCACTCGTCCTCGCCGAATTCCTGTTCGCCGCCTTCCCTCCGGGCATTTGCTTTGTCGTTGAGAAATCCTTCTCTATCTTCTTCCTCAAACCGTAGTTTGAGTTCCTCTTTGCGTTTCGCGTTCCTTTCACGCTCGTCCTCGAAGTTTTCCTCTTCGTCGTGCTCTTCGGGGCCGTGCTGTTCTCCGGTTTCCAGGTCCTCGAAGACACCATCGCCTTCGTCATCGTCCTCGTCATCGTCGACGCCATCAAATTCATCGTCATCCCCGTCATCGTCATCCCCACCTCGTGACGCCGATGTTGTGAACCGGCGCCTCAATGCCTCCACATTTGCCTGAAGAGACCACTTTGCGGCCAGATCCTGATAGTCGTACAAGGGTATTGACCTATCCTCCACTTTGTCTTCCGTCTCCTGTTTGGACTTTTTGAAGAATTCGTCGTCGTCCTCTGAAGCTTCGACATCTTCTTCCTCCTCCCGGTCCTCACCACGCCACCTCTTCAGTGCTTCCTGTGGTGTTATGGAGTCGTCATACATGAACCTAGCGAGATCCGGTGTATGGAAGGAACGTCTCTTGCCATGCAGCCTCTTGGCGCGCTCTGCCATGTTTTCCTTCCACTTCAGAGCAGCCGCTTCCTCGTCCGAGTCGAAGCCTTCACCATCCATGTCCCCATCCTCATCTTCCAGCCCAGAAATGGATCCGAGGTCAGAGTCACTGTCAGCGAAGGCTAGATCCTCATCGTCACCATCCCTTTCAGAATCCTTGAGGAAGATCTTGCCGAGCTTGCCCTCGTCGAATTCTTCTTCAACGTCAGACTCGCCATTCTCTTCACCACTGACGAAACCCTCGTCATCGACCATCTCCTCATCGGACTCTCCATACCGGTCTGGAAGATGCGCAAATCGTTGGGTCTTTCGGCCAGTATCATTGTCCTCGGCGACGTCCTTCAGTTGTTCGCCGCCCTTGAAAAGCTGAACACCCTCCTCGGTCTGACCTAGCAACTTCCGCTCGCCCTGAAGTCCAACAATGAGCTCTTCACCTTCGCCCCTCTCGCCATCTTCGGCATCCTTGTCGAAGTTGAACCCCTTTTCCCTTGTGATCCAAATAGCGTCACCGTCGATCTTGAGACCGCTGCGATCTGACAAGGGGGCGTATAATTTCTTCTCCTTCTCGTCTAGGCGTCGGCGTGTCGTCTTGCCTGTGATCTTGGCCATGGCTTGTTCCATAGCAGGAGTCGGGCAGGGGTCTGGAAGCACCTCGAGGTTGGCGACGGTAAAGTCCCCAAGGCCGGGAATATGCACTCTTTGGCCTTGGGAGGCAAAGTTAGTTCCTCTGAGGTAGCCTGAAACAACAACAGAGCGGTCGCACTTGGGGTCCTCCTCGACCTTGGTGGGATGGGTGATGTCTCGATAGCTGTCGACGATGGTGTAAGGATGGGAGTTTCTCCAGACCAATGGTCGCGGATTCTTCATGACGGAGAGGAAGCGCGAGAGATTGTGAATCTCACGGTCGGGATAACGCCCATTCATAACTCCTGAGAGATAGAAGAGGTGTGCGCCTTGGTAGAGCTCGCTCCAAAGTCTTCTCTTGATCCGTTTCTTCGCATCTTTCAAAGTCTGAACTTTCTTGAACAGGTCCAAGTGAGTCAGGATCGTAAAGACGTTTCCAGGCATGCCGACGGAGCTAAATATATTCAAGGCTTCCATTGTCTCCATCTCGAAGCCGTAGTTGCCATCGATCATCAGCAGGACGATGTCTGCGATCTTGGCCAAGTCGACCATGGCCTCGAGTTCGTTGGGACACTCGACAAATGTCAGCCGCTGCTTCTTTGATGTAACAACGGTGATGGGACCCTGGGGGTCGGAAATGGTTTCCTTCGCATATCGACGGATCAGAGATTTGAGTAGAGTCGTTTTGCCGACACCAGGAGGTCCTATGATGGTGACCAGCTTTGGTGGCGGCTCGTCGGGGAGTCGGTCGACGAGGGGCACATGAAATCGCCTTTCTTTGATCTATCCAATAGCATTAGTCAACGCTTGTGTAGATTGCCGTCGGTTCACGGGTGCGTACGTCGGCAGATCGCGCGTTGGACTTGAGAAGCTTTCCGGGGTTGGAGAAGGTGAAAGCCTTCGGGTTTCGGTCTGAAGCGCTTGTGAGTATTGAACTGAATGCAGCCAGGGTCAGATCCATGTAATTTACCTCCAGTATGACCTTTCTTCTTGTCCTTCGCCTTGCGGTGAGGCTTGTGCACTTGGTCGTCCATGATGGCGGCAGTGTTACCCAGTACGGTTGAGGATTCCTGTAGCGACACGGCGAGCGCATCCAAGATTTTTTTTTCCCTCTGGTCGCGACGCTGCGCACTTACCTTCCTTAGCTTACCAGAAAATTTGTTATGGGTCTCGCCGTATCTTATCGCGTTATCGATAAGAAGAACACTGACCCATTGCATGGACCCCACTACGTACCTAGTCCCTAGCACCGATAGGTAAGCTAAGGCACTGGCTGCGTTACCCCTCTTACACTACCCCTCCCTCCCTCTCTCCCCTTGAACTGACTCTGTCGATGAGGCCGATCATCAAGGCGTTGCATTACAACCAACACAGACGTACACCTGATATGAGCCGTTTGAGAGGCATACGTAATTCTTGTACCTGCCACTCAAAACGAATGAATAAGCCACGGCCCATGCGCAGCAGCAGCTGGGTACAGTTTAGAAGCTACCGCGGGATGATGGACAGGCAGAGATGGTAGCTATTTCACGTCAGGCAACATTTCTGCAAACCAGCCACAGTCAGCAGTGACGGCATAGCCGATGACGAGTGTTGTCGAGGCAGATGATGATACTTGGCAGATAGACCTTGATTGGCTTCTGCGTCGAGTCACAAGACACCAAGGGGCTCCGCAATCGTCTGCGAGCAGACGCATCATGCCTGAAGAAACAAGACAGGCGCTCGAACACTGAAGCTGCAGATTAGGTCGGTAAGATTTCTTATCTGTAATCTGGGTACACGGAAGGCGGACATGGTCTGGGGCGTAGTTATGCAGTAGCGGTGTTTATTCAGATGTGGTGTGCGCTCCACGCGCGCGGGTTAAGGGCGTTGGCTGGCTTGAGGCAGCCACAGCACACGCAGACGAGGGTTCAAGTGCGTTATGGGATGACGTATTGGCAGGTGTGGGACGCCTCATTGAGTTGTCCGTGATGGATGGGGGTTGAATGCTATCCGTATGTGCCACCCAC